TTTTCTTTCTTTCTTTCTTGTCTTTTTAAGACCTTTTGCCTTCTTCATGTTTGATGTCCTTGATGTCATGCCACTACATGTCTGGTCTTCAGTCACTAGTGTTCAATGTGCTTAATGGGTGAAATCTATTCTTGAGATGGTCTCTAAATTTAGGTGGAATATACTCAAGGTTGTGCTTTGGTTCTCATGAACTTGTTTTAATCTTCTTCAACTTCAACTTCAACTTGCATATGAGCGATGGATGGTCTGTTCCACAGTCTACCCTTGGCCTTGTTCTAACTGATGATATTAAGCTTCTCCATCATCTCTTCCCACAGATGCAGTTGATTTGATTCTTGTGTATTTTATCAGGTGAAGTTGACATATATGTTGACCATTTATGTTGTTGGAAAAAGGTATGGGCAATGAATAAGTCATTGGTCTTGCAAAATTCTATCATTGATCTCTGTTTCTATCACTAAGGCCATATTTTCCATATTTCCTTCTTTGTTTTGCATTCAACCACCAATAATTATCAATGCATGGTGATTGGGTGATTGATTAATTTCAGAATGCAGAAGATGGTAAAAATTTTCGATTCTTCATCATTGGCATTAGTGGTTGGTGCATAAATTTGAATAATAGTCATAGTAACTAGTCTTCCTAGCAGGGATACGGCTGTTATCCTATCACAGACAGTGTTGTTTTCAGGATAAATTTTGAAATATTCTTCTTGGTGATGCATTCAACATTGTTCCTTTTCAATTTGTCATTTTGGGTGCAGTAGACCATATGATGGGAACTCTGGTAGCGTAGTGCCTAAGGCACTTGACTGCTAACCAGAAGGCTGGCGGTTCAAACCCATCAGCCACTCCTCGGAAGGAAGATGGGGCAATCTACTTCCGTAGTGATACTGCCTCGGAAACCCAAGGAGGGGTCACTATGAGTCGGGTCCAACTCAACGGCACATAACAACAACAACAACAACAACAACAACAAGACCATATGATTGTCTGATTCAGAATGGCCAATGCTAGTCTATTTCATCTCACTAATGCCTAGGATATTGATCCTTATGCTTTCCATTTAATTTTTGATGAGTTCAAATTTTCCTGTACTCATACTTTGTATATTTCACATTCTAATTATTAATGGGTGTGTATAGCTGTTTCTTCTAATTTTAATCCATTAAAATTATAGCTTAGGAAACCCTATGGGCACTCCTACTCTGTCCTATAGGGTTTCTATGAGTCAGAACCAACTCCAAGATACATACAACAATAACAACAAATACATCCAGTAAGGTCTCTAGGAGGTGCAAATGGTTTGCACTAGACTGCTAACCTAAAGGTTGATGGTTTCAACTCACCCAGCAGCATCATGGAAACAGCATCATGGAAGAAAGTCCTGGTGATCTGCATCCATAAATATTACAATCAAGAAAACCCTATGGTGCAGTTCCACTTTGTAACACATTGGGTTGACATGGATCAGAATCCACTTAATGGCAACAGATTTTTTTTTTTTTTTTT